TTCATTTGATTTTAGTCTTTTCAGTCTATTTTTATCGGTGAACAAAGCTTAGTCCATTAAAATCTATATCTAATAATTAATTGTAATTGATTCAATTTTAATAATCGATTTCAAGAGACTAAAATCAAATAAAATGTATCTATTAAGACTGAAAAATTTGATTAAAGTCAGACTAAAAGTGTCATTTTAATTGATTTTTAATCTGGATTGGAGTCTTTTATTCTTTTACATGGGAAGCTCTTGATTAGAGGATACGGTGAGATACCTTCTCTTGTCATAGGTTCATTGTTATTTTCTGTGTGGTAGAACATTTTTCATTTTTCTATTTCCTCCAATCTCTAAAACTAGTCGAAAAATCTAGTTCTACTCATTTTTAAGAATAACATGAAAATATATTGTTCACTATTCGTTTAAATTTACTCATATCAATAACATACCACCAATTATAAGTAAGAAATCGAACTTAATGTATTCAATATTTTATGATTTTATTATTTATTTTCCGCATGTGAGTTTATCTGTATGAGCTAAAGACATATACCCACACCCACACCCTCAAATCAGATAGCATACGCATTTGAAGAAGAGGAAGAGAGAAAAGATGAAAGAAGATGGTGCATGACTTCATTTCCTAATATTTTGACGTTCTACATTATGCTTTTCAATATTTTCGTTTTCGGCATTTGATAACTTTACCTTACAGAACAGAACATCTTTGTCTATCTCTATTTGTGTGCAGACAGTTCCGATGAAAACATTACAACCCACTGCAACCCTTCAAAAGTAAGAAGCTATTAGTACTTTCAATTTTCTTGCTTAATGAGAAATAATGTACTTTATTTAAAGGCGGAGTTGCTTGCGTACAATCGTGGCCGTGTATTTTGGTTTAAAGCTTATGGGGTGTCTCATTGTGTTGATCGGTGGCATTATGATGCTCTCCACATCAGTGGATCAATATGCTCACTCGTGGATGATCGAGCCGAATGATTGTGCGAGAGCGCTATTTCAAACGAGCTATCAATTGTTTGCCCAAACATGTGAGTGTGTCTAGTGTAATGTCATCAATACAACAATTCATTAGAAGGCCCAATCGCTATTTGTTCAGCCTAATTAGGTACAGTAGAGAACCACTATTCATTTTTTAAAATCATATTCTGCTTCAAATTTCAACTGGTTCGAAAATGTGATCCAATGTAAAGTAAGCGAGAATGATATTATTTGAGAGAGCGACACATTTCAAATAAGTCAATTATGCCGTCTCAGTAGCTAACTAGAACAAGTTAAGTTTATAAATAGAACTCACTCGTGACTGCAAGGTTTTAAAATAGTGTTTTGTGTATTGTAATGATCACTTGAATGATAATGAAGTAAGTTAAAATATGCTTTTTTCGGGTCAAACTTACTAAGGTCAAAATTAAGTGAACAACTGTAATTGTGATCTCCAAAATGTGTTAAAATAGGTTTTGCTTGTTTTTTTCTTATGTTTGAGTCGCTTTTTAGTTTTTAAAAGTGTTAATGAAGAGATTATAGAAACAAAAAGTCGAACTGTACCTGCCGTATTCGATAACAGCGCTACACATCCGCCATTCATCCTCCAGAAAAATAATGTCAAGACAATTGTGCGTAATTATGTCAAGGGCATGGGCTTTAGGGTAGTGGTAAGCAGCTTAATCGGTATCATCGTCGATGGAATTTGCCTGTTTCTCATGGTTCGTCTTCGCCAGTCAAAAGAGTCGTTGACTCTCTTTCAAGTTATTGCATTTTATCTCTGGATAAATATAGTCATCCTCGGTATGCTCCTCATACAAGATGTTCTCTTCGAAATCAACTGTAGAAATGGCAAAATGTTAACGGTTGTTTTCTATCTCGTATACTTTGCGCTAAGTTTTGCAGCGGCATGCATCATGCAATGTGTTATCATGGAAACTCGACGCGATCGCCAAGATCATCCTGAGACTGTCGGGATGCTCAACACAGCTCATGTTTGAGTTAAAACGCAAATGACAGACATGAAGTACTTCAATCTCTTCTTTCTAAACTCATATATTCAAGAATAAAGTATTGAAAGAAAAATTCTTGTTCATTTTTGAACGATATTCAGAGTCAGATTAGTTGGCATGTCAAATGTACAGATGCACAATCAGATGAAAGTTGAAGAAAATATTGTTCATCTTTAATCCTTTCACGGCGATGGGGTTCACCGGTGGACCTCACTATATTTTCGGTGTCTACCAGAGTTGCTGAATGCGATGACTTTGTGGATATCATCAAAACATCTCTTTTATCTTTCCACTTGATTAGTTTTATACCATTGTTGCTCTGGAGTCCATAAACTTCACCACACTTGAGCCTTTTTCGAACTACTTCATGCCCTGATTCAGCGCGATTGCTTCTCAACGTTCCAATAAGATAGATATCATTCCGCAATAAACTTTTTGCAAGAGACATATTTGAGTGTGGGTGTGGAGTGGATGTGGGTGACTGTGAATCCCTTCTAAATAGACACCTACATCCTTACTCTAATGTTCATTTGATCAAATTATATTGAATTGTATTGAATTTTTGCAAATTTTCGCTATAAGAACATGTTATTTTTCTTGAAGTTTTGATGCAACAACAAATATTTTTATTTATCACTTTTTATACAGTTCAAGTAATGAATTTTCTAATATCTGAACCAGATGAAATTCGTCGTCTTCGTCGAAATTCCATAGAAAATGCATCACACTATAGTGTACTTGATAAAGATCAATATGATGCTACTTCTACTTCTATTGATCCAAATAACCGTATATGATATTCAATTAATAAATCTACATGAGAATTTTATCGTGTACATATCCAAGTGTAGTATAGCTTTTAATTGAATTAGTCAAAATCTTTACATTAATGATCTTATTCACAGTTGCTTATGGATTTTACAAGATGATGGACATTATGCAACTAAATTACTAACAAACATTGAATCATCATTGATTGTTACTGTTAATCTAATACTGAGAATACTTTATTTTATTAACTATCATTATGAAGTTGTTGAGAATTCTAATGAACATATGTTTGCCACTGAATCAACCTATATAAGTTTATCGTGTTCATTAGACAGATAACAAAAAAAAAAAGAACTAATCAATTATGATGGAACACGTCACATTATTATAGGACATATTGAAATATATGCAGCATATTCATTAGATATGTTTGCAAGTCATTTATATTGGATTAATCGTGAAAAACCATTCATGATATAAAATTGAAAAGAGTATGCGTGTGGACAATGATGTGAATCGCTGTTTCACACAAACCGACACAAAAACCCACAACCTTAGATAGAAAAAGAAATGGACATCATGGATCTAGCCTGATGTTAGAGTTTGATTTTTTTTTCGTTTAAAAGTCGAAATACTTTTAATTGAATGTAAATGACAAGAGCTCATAAGATCATAAATTGGCCTAATAACGGTTTTCACTATTAATTTTTCTCATTGTTATGAAATGAAAAGTAAATTTTGTTTGTTTGTTTGTTTATTGTTGAAAAGGCAAATCTTGTAACAAAAACAAAATTCACACTCTAAGTTGAACCCAATAATGATGATTTTCGTTCTTGTTTATTTATCGATTGAATTTGTCTGCGAAGTACATATTCTTGAGATGTGACTTCTTTCTAAAATATGCAACATAATAAACACTGTATTTCTTCATTTGGATATGATACTAAGAACGACAAACTCACTATTCTTCAATAATCTTCTTTTCATTATCGCGGCTTGATCTTTTGGGACTAATATTGCTTGATGAATTAAAGCACGAATACGATCGAGATATTGAACTAGATTGAGTAATTGATGTCGAATTTCATCCGAGAATACGATGAAATAACCATTATGATTAATTTATGTATCATTCTAATAATCGAACACAAAGAAAAAGTCTACTGAATTGATTGCAAGCGAACAAAAAAGATATTCGTGGATTACATTCATTAGATGTATAACATATGGTATTTCCCTTCTCTTTTCTCTCTTCATGTTGTTTGATTTACTTTACTTGAACTATGTTATTTTCAAGTCAGAAACAATGAATATTATATAGGTGTTTTTTCAAAATACCTTGTATTGCACAGGTGGCAATAATTGAAAAAATAACCACCTTTCATCATATAAATACTTACGCTTTATTTTCAATAAATGGTTCCTTCTATATCTTCTCAACTACTCTCGATACACTTCCTAATGAACTTCAAATTTAGACTTGAAAACATCTCTTCATCCACGATCTTGATGACTCCTTCTCTCTCTAACAATTACCATTACAACTGTCTAGTCAGATACATAATCCCTAGTAGAATTAATTATGAACATTTGATCTATGATATTTTCTAATCTCAACCAAATATTGTTGGTAAAGTCAATATTTTTTCGGCGAATTCGGCAAAATTAGTAAAAATATCATCGTCAACTTCAAGTAGCACCATCTCTATACGACGTAAATATCGTGTGCAATGGCTATTTTCCAATGAGATACAATTTGAATATAAAGCGATGTTTGCTTGAAACACGTAGTAGACAGATTGTGATGGCACTAGCATAGAACTAAAATATCTCTTTAACAATCATAACAACTTGCTCATTCCAAGCTCTCCACCAAGGTTGCCGATTAGGGACGGAATGAGAAATTTTTCTCGCCAAAAATTGGAAAAGTGTCTGACATTCTGCCAAAATTTTCCATAGTTGCGTGGTAAATTCTGACAAAAAGACTGGTTTTCAAGCGCTCTTTGCCCCTCTTTTCCGACAAAAAAGTCAAATAAAACCACCTTTCGGTAACAAGATTTCACAAAAGGTCTATAGTTTTGCCATTTTTTGGCTCCCAGAAAGTCATATGAAGATACTTTCTGTCAAATTTTATTCCCTTTCGGTTTTGAAAATAATTGGTAGCCATACTGTTCACCAAGCCTCAGTAAAAAGATAGATCAACATTGGGAAGAACGTCGTTTTACTGATCTGTGGAAAAGTCAGTTACGTACTGATGCTGACGATAAACCAAATGCTTTAAGACAAAAAAAATGGAATTTCAACGAGAACGGGAATTAGGGCAGAACAAAGCTGTAGCAAATTGAAATTGGAAAAATGTGAATGTATTGACTATGTGCAAAGATATTTCATATGTGGTTGCTGCAGTTGAAGAGAGAACGTTTCCAGGTGCCAAATCGCTTTTTGATCAAGTATTCAACACAAATACGATGCTTCTTGTTTAATTGAAAAGATTTCAATATGTATTTTGTTGATTTTTCATTTATGAATCAATCAAATCGATGATTTTGTTGAAAGAAAAAAAAAACAATTGTATACATTTAGTCAATTTGTTTATGAAAGATCTTAACTCTTAAAAACCGAGCGTATTTTTTAACAATGGTAGAAGAAGCTGATCACAAAAACAGAGATTATAGATCTTCACAATGTGCTCATCCTATAGCTAAAAAAGAATTATCTCGTTCTTCTTCTATATCCATTGGAAGGAATATTCGACATTATAGATGAATCAAAAGAAAGAACTTTTGATCTGATATTTCGGTCATAAGTAGGCTTCATAATCCTTAGAATCTCCTGAAATTTTCAGCTAAAATGAATGTTTTCTTCTCAAGATATTAAATAAGAAAAAAAACCGATGACATCTCACACGATCAACGTTTCTTCTACATGGCATATCTCGAGAAAGATGCATGTCTTTTGACTGAAAATTTTCGAACATTCTAAGGATCACGAAATGTATTTATGAACAAAATTTCAGATCTAAATTCTTTTCTTTCAAACCTTCTATTTCTTATCCAATTGTTTCACACAGAATATGAACTTATTTAGTAGGAGAAAGCGTATCGGTCACGAGAAAGAGAAATAAAAAAGGAAGAATACTACACTTATCGACACAATTAGTTGAAGAGTTAACTTTTGAAGCATAATTGGTAGATTTTGAAAAGTCTGACAAATATCATATTTTTGTGATTCATTTGCATAGGAAAGAAAATTCTTAAAGATTCAATTCAAACTCATTCGTATCGACTCCTCTGGGAACTTTTGAATAGTTTTACGATTTTTACACATTATAACGAAAAGAATCCTGACAAATTCAAAGTTTCTGATTATCTGTTCTTTTTTCATTAATAAAATAATTTCAATAACAAAATCCAACATTTATCAACATATTACACGCATTGTTATCACCGATGTTTTTTTTTCGCTGATGAATGATATTTGTCCGTTCGGTCGTTAACATATTCTTTAGATATTTAGTAGCGAAGTCACTTTCTTCTATTTACAGTCAGTTATGCAATCGTTATAGATTCATCTCCACGTGTCTATTCACATCAATATTTTTCTTTGCTTTTCTTCAATGATGCTTTTCGAACGAACACATTCATTCACCTGTATCTCAATTACATAAATCAAACAGCTGACGTTATTTCACATCATTTCATTTGTTGTTATTTATTGAGTCAATAGTGTGAAGCAAAACGAATAATATTGTTTGTTCACGTTATTTTATCGATAAAAACTATCCAATTTGACGTGGTACAGTTGAAATTGGGTATTCCAAGACTACTATGAATTTCTCTTTGATAGATCTCTGGTTGTGCGAGACACAATGTACATGATCTTTCGTGTGTTTCTGATCGTCATCGCATTTTTAACAGTGGTTGATTGTCAAGGTGGTGGACGTAAAAGCAGTAGTAGTAGTAGTAGTAGCCGAGGTTGGAGAAGTAAGTTCTTGTTGATAAAGTTTCCTTGAAAATTAAGAGAAAAACGCATAAAACTCTTTGATAAGTTCGAACAATTTTAATACATATGAATCGATTTTAGATCGTCCTTATCGAGGAGTATCAACGTGCACAGGTGCCGCTTGTCTACATCAAGATGTTATCGCAAGTTGTAAACTTATCGGCGTTATACTTGTCATAATTGCAATAATCTTTTTCTATCATTGGTGGAAACATCAATCGATACAATCAAATGAAACCTATGTGAATTTACCAACGAGTGAAATCGAAACGCAGGACTTGAACCAGTTTGAGTCGGGTTTTTGGTCGAGTCGATATTATCAATATGATGTATGGCATGGTCCCCATCGACTCTCGCTCTTATTCGATCCTGAAACATGGAAAGTAACAGGAGGCGGATCAGATAATGTTGGCATGTACACAATCGATGGGATTTACTCGATAAAAACCAATCGAATGGGTCTAACAAAGACATATGAGAAGGGAACAGGCGATTTGCAACAGAATATAGGCCACAGTGTTACAATTCAAATGACTTGGAACTCGACTCAACGTCAGTTCGAAGGCAAATGGTTTGTGCAGACAAATAAGTACAGTGATGAAGACAAGTTTGAACTAAAACTTGAAAAAAGCTATAGAGCTATTCAATGAGGGTATTTTGTTTTGCAATATACTGCTTTTTATGTTTGCTGTAATAAAATTTGATAAGAAAAATCACTACGTATGACTTCTAGTCTTGTTCGCTGGAGAGTTGTATCGGCTTCTAAAAGACACATTCGAACGTGGGAAGTCTTTTACAACTGTCCATAGCAGATATACTGATGGTTTATTTGGAATTGCACCAATTTTCCTGCAACTGTGAGTAGATTTCCGTATATTCAGTTTCGCTACACATGAGTAGTTATTATGCGACATCAATCACGATATTCACATTGCTCTCGTATTCTTCATACTGAATGCTCTGATATGGTCTTGCATATCTTCCACGACAAGATAAAACATCATATGCATTTACAATGTACAAAGTGTCCGAAAAGTAAGAGAACGTACAATTTTTTTAATTTCTGTTTTTGTATATGGACTCTTAGATCTCATATTTGTATGATATATACTTGGTGATACTATTCGACAATGTAGCATATGATCAGTCTTTTAGTACAGTTAATTGTTCAAAAATGTACAATTATATCTTACGGATCACATATAATTATTAGAGAAGTTCAATTTTTTCCGAGTTCTATTCGATTTTCATAGTATTAAATGAATTCGATTTAATTATTTTTGACCTCTTTTCGACTGAATCTATATGAAATTCGAATTCATTCAATACTATGAAAATCGAATGGAACCCGAAAAACATTTAGTTTCTTGATAATCGCATACGAGTAATAAGAGATATATTTGTATGCTTTTGAACAATCAACTGTACCAAAAGACTGATCATATATGCTACATCTTCAAATAGCTGTAGTATAAATATGAGATCTGAGAGTCCGTGTGCAAAAAAAGGAATAAAAAGAGTTATGTATTTTTCGGTGATCATGAGTGATTGCATGTTTTGCAAGAGGACGTTAAAAAGGAGTCGTTTTTTCAATTGTGACTAGTCTCTAAATATATTTTCAAGTGATTTTTTCTGTTTCTATTGATTTTTACGATATCCAAAGATTGCTACCATTAGAAATCATTTTGTTTTCTCTTGATTAACATCATACTTGCTTTTGTTCATCATTCTTATTCTTCACATATAGTCATCAATATTAGAGGCTGGACGAGACAGTTAGATCAGAGGAAAGTCCTGATTCGAAAAATTGTTTTACTCGGGGTTTCTGACCGTCTACAATGCGACAAAACATGATTATAATACTGCACCCATCAAACTGTGAGAAAACTATCTAAAATGGTCATTATAAACGTTCTTACCTAACCGAGTTCTTATTAAAAACATAGGCTTTAATTCTTCTTTCCATTGAATGCAGCAGACAGACAATATGATAATCTTTGATTCAGGTAAGTTACATCTATCCAATAATAACTTGATCTTTTTCTCATTGTTCTACCTATCATATTAATTTCAACCGTTATTAGGGTAATTAATTATTTTGATTGAAACTATGAATATGTCAGTCGGTAAGATTTTTTTTCTCTTTAGTGAAGCAGTAGTGTTCTTTTATTAAAGCAAGAATTGACATAAAAATTAACTGACTACTATCTGTTTTTTTTTTGAGCAGTTAGATTAAAGAAAAATAACGAATCAGAAATATCAGAAACACAAGAAATATGTGATAAATAGTCGGATTTACCATGACAATCGATTTTTATGTTATGTATTTAATTGCTGTTGATGAATAGCTCAAATTTCCACAAGTATCAAATATCATTTGAAAGTATTGAGATCAGCTATATAAGCTTGACTAGATATTTCTAATCGATTGTTGACAAATTTGCGACATAATAGAATATTAAACAAAGAAAAGTATTTCCCCAAGATATTGTCCATCGATCAGCGATCGAGATGCTTTCTTCGTTATCGAAATCACATTTTTCATCACTACAAAGGAAGATGTTTATACCCTTGATGTTACCATTTTCAACTTGTATGTTTAATTCACAATGCTGAGGTAAAAAGAGCTACAAAGGGAAAGAATGAGACGAGTCACAGAATGAAAAAACAATAATCATGTTCATAGAGTTCTTCATAATTCGATGAGCTTCTTGAAACAATCCAAGGCAGAAAATTACAATCATTTGCTTGAAGATTAATAGAAAATAATAATACATCGAGATTTAACTTCTATGCTAGTTTACAATCATTGTCGTAAGAAGCGAAGGAACAAGAAAAAGATTTTCATGAGCGTTTCAATAATCGAGAAAACCATTGATTGAAAAAATATTCATCATTCATAATCAAAAATTGTCAACGACTACAGATTAATGGTTAATCAATGTACAAAAAGATGTAATATAATAACTCGCATGGTAATCGATCCATCCTGTCTGTTGTTATTGTTCGTTTCGTGAAAGAAAATGCTGTGTATAAAAGTAGCATCATATATAAATAACCTTTCATTGTCAGTGCTATACAGACATCGGACATGTATTGTTCTCTCTTACTCAGTCATTCAACAATGAATATCGACATACGAAAGAACACCAGTCGACTATTTGATAGACTATCAACAATTGATTTGAACTATTGCCTGAAGTTTTTTTTACCAATAACACCAATGTATTTAACTTTTGTATTTCTCATAACACTCGTTGTTGTATAGAAAACCTTATTAGTGCCATCTCGACATTCGAATTGAAGAAAACGATGCTATATTTTGTATAAACATATATATAGAACGAAGCTTTCAATGCAATCAATACAGGATTCAAATGTGAAATATGATTAAAGCAATATAATAGTTGTCTAAAGCCTTCTTTATATCTAGAACAATCATTTACATATAAGAGAAACTGTTCTGAGTCAAAAATCTGATTCTAAATAAGTGATTCCTTAGAGATGTTCGGTGAGTATAATAGTCTTCCGGCGGGATGTTTATAGGATGAAAGCTCGAATGTAAATACTTTTCAGATGAAAAATTAATAAAAATGATTTTCATAGCAGTTATCTTGTTTCTTTTCTGTTATTTATTTCCTACTGCTCTTTCCTCTCAATTCACGGATGAATAAAGAATATCAACCATATTGAATTTTTCAAAGATAATGAATAAAATTTCATCCGAAAAAATCGAGTATATTAAGATGATTGTTATTTGAATTGTTCACATCTAATTCATAGATTCTATTGAATCAATAACTTTCTTTTGCTCTTGCTAAAAGATAAAAACGAAATAATCAAATAGCCATGTGACATTCAATTGCAATGATATTCTTTGTAAAGAAAAGAATAATCAGAAAATATAAACATCCATGTGCATTTTTTTTTTCGCCGTTCCTTCTAAATCATTCTGAATTTTCAAGCATTAACATAAATTAAATCATTTTCGAAAATATAACAGAATTACAACGTAAATCGACATTCAATCGATAAATTTAAGTTATTTATAAACAAAAACATTTTTATTGAACATTAAATTTTTATTCAAGATGCCGATAACATCTATTGAAAACTTATCAAATGAATTATTTTATGAAATATTCGATTATCTTGACGGTAGTGAAATCTATCAAGCATTTTCAAATCTCAATTATCATTTTCAACAATTTCTCAATTATTCATCATTTCCATTAAAAATTAGAATTAATTCATCATCTTATAAATCATATATGAATACATATCAACAAATTTTATTTAATAATAAACATCGAATTATTTCCTTACATTTATTCTTACCATTACAAAGCAATGAATTTTTCTCATCATATTCCATTGATTCATCATTTAATTGTCTTGAATCACTTCTGCTTTTTAAAATTCCACCATCTATTCTTTTATCACTTCTTATTAATTTAACTTGTTTACCACGACTTTTTTCATTAACGATTGATACACAACGAACATTGGACGACTTAACAGAAGTTTATCGATTAATTTTTCTTTTACCAAAATTAAAATATATGAAATGTTCAGCAAGAAGAACTGTTGTATTTATGTCATTACCAATTGCTAAGAAGGAACAATTAACTAATATTGAATATCTTGTAATTAATCATTCTTGTACTTTTAATCAAGTTTCTACTATTATATCTTATACACCTGAACTTTATCATTTGAATTTAATGAAATCCTATGATAATTATTTTAATAATGAAATTTTATTACCAATGGATTTATTTCGTCTAACATATCTATCAATAAAAATGTGCGATATAATGTTAGATGAATTGGAATTATTTATTGCAGAAACTGGATGTAATTTGAAAGTTTTACGTATTATTACTCATTCGCACGAACGAGATTATCTTGATGCTGATCGATGGCAAGAATTAATTGAAGATTATTTACTAGATTTAGAAGAATTTTATTTACAATATCATGAAAAAGTTGATCCTGAAGCTGCAATGTCTGATACTCTACCTTCGGATAACTTTCGTTCATTATTCTGGATTGAACGACAATGGTTGATGGATGTTGAAATGAATTCTTTGAAAATTGTCTGTTCAATTGGATCGTACAGGTATATTGAAGAAAAGTATTTTTTCTAAAATAAATTATTTTTATTTTCAGTGAAATATGATGTAACAGGATTGTTGAGTAGACACGTATGAGATCAAGACTAAAAAAATCAAACTCTATTCGAACTACGAGAAAATTATCGTTACTAGATACATGCAGAACGAAGTTTTTCCTTTTAGTCGACGATAAGTTGAAGATAATTTTTCTTGAATTATATTCTAATCACCTTTTTTGATCTCGATCTCATGGATATCTAGTCCTGAGTGACACATTAAAGATTGTACTTGCTATATTTACAAGTGAATTATATTATAAATCATATTAATCAAAAAAATACTTTGAACAGTTGATCAGAAAAATGTTTCTCTAAGTCAACACCAAGAATAGAGCCAGTAGTTCTTCCAACTTTGATTAAAAGATAGAAATGTTAAAATTGAAAGTATATGAATGTGAAAATCTTCATCACTCTAATCCTCATCTATCATTTTTTCTTTTTGAGCATTTTTCACTTTCGGTTACTGTGAAGATTACTGAATCGGCATTAAAAAAACCTGAACTGATCGAGACCAAGACTAGATCTGATTTACTGAGATTGGGACTAGTACTAATGAAAAACAACTTACAGACACCATGATCCGAACTGAAAAAAATTCGTTCCGCATATGTCTAGTGCTAAAGTATAAGGAAGAAAATTGTAGCCATTCATCCTTTCTTCCACTCGCAAACTGTGACATATATCATAATAACGAACTATGATAGATCGTGACTAGAGTCTATTGCATGGAACTTTTTCTGCACATGACCAAGTAAAAAATTGAATAGTTTAGCTATGTATTGTTTATTCTTAGAAGAGAAAAAAAATCAACATGGAGTGTTTTTCGATTGTTTCTCATCACATCGATCTATTTCAATTCAAAACTAAATCAAAATCGAATCTAAAGTTCACTCTGGATAGGAACATGGAATATGTTTATCGCAAATCATGGCGGACATCATCTTTTAATGCTACAACAATCATACTAATAATTTTTCTTTTTAGAAAAAGATGGTACGATATGAATTCTTCCATTGAAATTTCAAAATCTACTCGACTTACTGTTTGGAATGTTCCTGATGTTGATTATAGAGGATTATTAAAGTTAACCATTGGTGAAATTTTAACAATAACACAAATTTATCATTTGGAAATTTTTCAAAGAAATATTTGTTCTAATGAATTAATCGAATTAATCGATAAATTATCTGCACTTGATTCATTAAAAATCTATTCTTTAGGATTATTAGAATCAATATTTGCTGATTTCTATGAACATGAACTTCATTT